TGTAACATTTACAAATGAATGTCAGATTGTCAGCATAAGTTATATGGTGGCCGATCTGTCGTCAATGTTAAGTATAGCATATTGCTTCAACTTGGGAGATGAGGCCATGTGATTCTTATCCAACGGCTATCACGTCTCGACTAGAATTCTATAAATAAGCAACTCTTGTAAAATTTGAATCTAATGCAATATTACACACTAGAAACCACACTCAATCTTCTTTCTTGTTTATTCCATATTTATCTTCTTGAGTTTAGTATGTTTTTACTTTGCTTGAGTTGTTTATGTGCAATCATATTTGATCATATTGTTGGTGTTTGAACATTTTTATCTCGCGTTGTAAAGTGTCTCCCACGTCCATAAATATCATCATTTCCCATCCAAATCTCTGGTAAAACATGTTGGAATTTGTTTGTGTGGACGCGAATGAGTCCGTAATCTTTTGTTCACGTAACTATTATAAAAAACAGGGTCAATAGAGATGGTGGTTGGCCTTGACAGAGGTAACATATAAGAAGTTGATATTAATGATAGAAGAGAATGAAAGAAAGTTTATCGACCTTCATATAATTTTCAAATGAAAAAGTCTCTCGAGTATTTCATCTACCAACTAACAAAGTAACAAAATGACATCGTTTTCGTATTGTTGATTATGAATATTGTAAGCTAAACAATACTGCATTGTATTCATAAAATTTTTAATACTATTTTCGTGACTGATAAGGACAAAAGAAGTGATGAAAAGATCAAAACGTATTATCTTGGCTTTACCAAACTGTATATCAGTTATATGTAGTTTTCAAACCCCTACTCCTCATACAAACCTAACCCACCAGAAACCCTACCTTTCGTACGTGCCAATCTTACTATGATTTCAATATAATTGTCCTTTTTTTTCCCTAATTTCCTCAAAAATTATAATGAGCAAGGGCAATATGGTCATACTAATAAAGCCTAAGCAAGGCAGGTTAAAATGTTTTAGCAAATGTTTGATAGGTTAGACAACAGTAAATTATTAAAGGAAAAAAGTAATTTCTTTTGTTGTGTTATATGTTAATGTTCAGTATTAAATTCCCATTTGATTTTACTAAAATCAGACTTTTAATATATTTTGATTTGATAAAAATTGAAGAAAGTCACGGGGCATTTAATCAAGACTTTTTAGAAGTCTCTATAAATCACGTTGTATTTATGGGACTTTTTGATGGAAAATATAAATAACAAATCTCAAAACTAATCTCTCATAGGACGAGAGATTTGTGAAAAACTCTAGAGCCCAAAAAAACTACCCTTTTCAATATGTTGAGCTAAGCTTAAAATTCAATTAAAATTGAAAATATAGCCGTTATTGAATCCCACTCCTCTAATAAAAGTCAACAATAACGGTTAATTTTTCAATTTTAATCTCTACCGAACACGCCCGATTCTCCTCCTAGGGTTTTCATGTACCTCTTTCATTCATGTAATTTGCAGCATCACTTTCTATAAATTTCCCACCGGACCGTTTTCTTCCTTCATTCATATGTGATAATAGCATGTATTCATATATATTTTTTAATTGATTGATATTCAATTTTTTATATGAATTCAATTGAATTTGCACTATCACTTTTTAATTGAATTTGGAGTTAAGTCTGTTTTCGTCCCGCATTCATTTTTTTATAATAATATGTATTCATATATATTTTTAAAGTGAATTGATAATAATATAGGGTTTAAGGGGAAATAAGAATGGAAATTATTTGAATTATAAAATGGTTAGATAGGAAAAAATGCTTGAATTGTGATTTTATAAACAATTCTTATGAAGGAAGTATTCACTTTTATAAACCGTGATTTCAATCAAGCATTTTGGAGTACAAGACGTCTTCCGGTGGTGGAGGGAGGCGGCGGAGAGAGAGAAGAAGAGGATGAGAGAGAGAAGGGCCAATGAAACAAGAGAAGCCATTAAAATCAAAATCAATTTCAATCTTCCAAATGGCAGGGATAATATTGGTGGAGATGTGGTTTTGATAGGTTTTTTTGGCTCCATGATTTGGAGGAATTGAAAATATCTACAAAGTTGCATTTGTAGATAACACGTGCCGAAAAATTGAGCGCAAAAATGTGAAACATTGTGATTAAACTAATTTTGGAATTGATTGATTGGACACGCAAATATTTAATCTAATTTTTTAAATATTTGATGGGAATGATATATTAGCCAACTCATGCCATATTCTTCTTGCTCGAGAGAATTCGATTTTATATTTTTGTGTTAATCACCTGTGACTCAAAATATTATTTATATACATTCCCACTGAGTATGTAAACACAGTCTACGTGGCGTCAATGTGGCATTAAATGATATGTGAAATTAAATAAGTTATTTAATTTCACCTTTCATTTAAAATCACATACACTGTGTTTTCATCCCCACTGGAAATGAATAACATTACTCATAGTTAGTTGTCAAAGGACCTATTTTGGTGATGCATTGTCAGCAGGGAGACAATATTTTAAATTAAAATATGTAATGTGCAAATGGGTGTTCTATCTTAGGAATTGTGTAACATGTTTAGTTATACTCTTTAATTCCACGAAATGTCATTTTTTTATGGTTCAGAGGCACCCTAAAAGATATAAATGTTACACTTATTTAGGCAATAAAATCTATTTGAATCTACATGTGACTAATTAAAATCGTGTCTTGAATAAGAAATCTAGTTGTAAACACGCATTTTACCTTTGATGTAGGTCATGGCAACGATTTTTTTAGCATGCGAATGTCTTTGTCCTAAGAGGTACTGGTCGAGGGACCATTTGCACTCTGATGATTAAGCGAGTCGCTGATATGAGCGAAAGAAATAAATGGACATAATTTTGGTTAGAATTTTAATATTGCATACATTTTCTTTGGTCAAGCCTAGGGTATTTATATGAAACTATGGTCGAGGATTTATGACCTTTTCAACTTGTTGCTTCATATCTATGATTTTGTTTCTTGTATAACTGTTGTTGCACACCGCCCTCCCCACGTTTCCCTAAGAGTCTCTGATTGTTTTCTAGTTTTTCTAAATGGTGAAAGCATTGCGACACGAATAAAGGTGTAAAAAAGAATTTCACCTTATTTAAGAAAATCTCCTAATTGTCACCATCGAAGTCGGAGGGAAAACAGGAGGATTCCTCCAAGTAGAGGATTTGTCTCCATTTCCTTCGTTGACCTGTGATGTGATTGAATTGCAGATCATGCCTTTTACATTACTTGGATGTTCGTCCATAGGCGAGCCACCTCTGTGGGTTCTGTGTTGGAAATGCAACCTTATGAGCATAGTTCAATGTGTCCCTTGATCAAGCGAAGCTTTCACATACTTAAACTAAGCTCATTGACTTTGGCGAGACACCCATGGCTCATGCGGAACCCTTGTGATGTTTGTGAGTCACACGTGGCCTCCACACGATCTAGAGTGATGTGGTAGATGTGTCTTACATAGCACTCCCATTTTTACATGGCTTACAAATGACTTTTACGTGGTGACGACCAGGTGTAACAAGAACTTTTATGTAGTAGAGCTTTAGAGAGGCAAATTATTGCAAACTTAGTAGATACTTGAGTGTAAAAACTCAAAAACGGTGGTTGTATTATCGCCACAATTTTTATTCGGTACACCATATTTTAATTGCAATTAAGTTGCTCAATCTTTACTCGTTGTAGCAATTATTTTCATAACTTTTTTCGTCGAATTCTTATCTTCAAATCCATTTATTAGTACATCTCATCCTTAATGATGATTTATATCAAAATATTTTATTTTCATACATTGAAACAAGTGCAAAATATTTTTTTCGCACTATTTATTTTTTAAAAATATGATTGGAAAGCAAGTTGTTTAATGCCATTTCAACAAACATTTGGACATAAAATTGTTATTAAATACATAATTTATAAATTAATGGAAAGTTTGAAGAAAAAAATCCCATGAAAAATCGTAAAACGTAAATACTATAATAAACAAAGATTAAGAACATTAAGTACAAATTTTAAGAAATAAAAATTGTGGACATACTCAAAACAAACAAGGGGATAAAATACGAAATGCCCATTTTACCATTTTATCATAAATTTTATTTTCCCAGTTTTATTTTCTCTTTTTTTTTTTTTTTGCCCCTTCGCTTCATAAATTATTTTTAGAAAAATGATTCTCTTCACTCTTCATATTATGGAAAGGGGTAGTCTCGTCACTCCAAAAGTCGAGATTGATAATTCCTGTCTGCTATCTCTGTCTCTAGCTGGATCAAGAAACCCATCTTTTAAACTTTCTTTGCAAGTTGATGAAGGAAAAAAAAGTATTAATATCCGTGTGGGAGGTGCGGGATGGGGTGGGGTAGGATGGGGTTGTTGATATTAAGAAGGCATCTAATTTCTTTATTTTAATGCTCTTGTTTTTTTGTTGGTCTCTCTTTCGAGAAGGCGATTGCAGAGAACTACAACAACAGTCTCAGTGCAAAGAGAAAACGAGGATAGAAAGAGAAAGATAGAGAGAGAAACGACAGCCTCAGAAACAACAGACAGAGATATGGAGAGACCTAGGTATATAGACTGAGTGAGATTAAAAAGAGAAGAATTCGAACAGTTTTATTTATTTTTTCTCCGAATCCCACAGAAAAAGAAAACGATGTCTGAGAGCTTTGCACACTTTTACGACCTGCAACTATAAGAGGTATGTATGTACAAACATGAATTGCAAAAGCTGAAATTTTTATGTGAACGACAACAAAAGACTCATTTGCTTTCACTTTTACTCCTCACTTCCTTATTTATTCTTCTCTTTTTGCTCTTCTTTAATCATGTGTTATTTTCTATGCTGTATTATACTTTTGATGAACAAAACTCAAATTTCCATGACGGGTTTTTCTTTTCTTGGATGGATCCGATGAAAAACTGAGCAGATAATAAGGAAGAAGGTGGGCGGTTGTTAGGAGGCCAAAAAGGACGCTATAATGAAGAAGAAGATACTGATATGGGAATAGAAGCAGCGCCACTCTCTTCTGTTACTTCTCATTCGAAGGGTTATAATTTAATTAAAATATTGGAGAAAGAAAATTACTTCAACTCTATGTCCCAAGAATTTCATCAAGGTGTTTTCAGTTTTTTGAATGGATTCGAGAGATCGCAACAAGAACAACATCAGCAGCATCAGCAGCACATAGTAGCACAGCAGATCCGCCGGGATAAACACAGAGCTCAAGGCTTTGAGCCACCACATCCATTGGTAGGTATGGAAGAAGAATCTGGTGGACTTCCAGTGTATGAAACCGTCGGGATGTTGTCCGAAATGTTCAATTTTCCATCTGGTACAGCCACAGCTACGGAATTATTAGAGAACCAGATATCACAGAATTACCGGAATTCAAGACAAACTCCGCCCACCGGAGCTGTCTCGAGTGACTGGTTTTCCAATCGGCAAGGACTGGTGGTGAGTGGTTTAGGGCCTTTGGGGGATTCAAAAGAACAGACTGAAGTCAATGACACTGCTCATCATCACCACCAGAACCAGATTTCAGGCATTAATGCAGACTCTGCAGCAGCCATGCAGCTTTTCTTGATGAACCCACAACAACAAAGGTCACCATCTCCATCTCACTCTCATCATCCTTCTCAGCCTTCATCTTCGTCTACTCTCCACATGTTGCTTCCAAATCCATCTTCTTCTTCCACTCTCCAAGCCTTCCACAACCAAGAAGGGGATTTTGGCGGCGGCGCATCCCAGTTTACCTGGGTTCCAAACAGTGGCAACGAAAGCAACCCTAATGAAATTCCGGGAGTTGTGGAAGGACAAGGGCTTTCTTTATCATTATCTTCTTCATTACAACACTTGGAGGCAGCCAAGGCTGAAGAATTGAGAGTTGGAGAAGGAGGGATGCTATTTTTTGGTCAAGGTGGAGGGTCAAGTTCAACGCCATACCAATTCAAGAATCTGGGTGGTGGTGTTGGTAATCAGTCACTTCATTTACAAGGGGTAGTGGGTCCGAACCACCAGCTACAGGTAGGATTAGGGTCTTCCTTTTCATCGGTCCACGTGTTAAGGAATTCAAAGTACGCCAAGGCAGCTCAAGAATTGTTGGAAGAATTTTGTAGTGTTGGTAGGTCTCAATTCAAGAAGAACAAATTTGGTAAGCAAAATACTGCAAACCCTAGTTCCAATCCAAGGAGCACCGGTGGTGGCGGAGGAAATTCTCCATCTTCTTCAAAAGATCCAACTCCATTATCATCTGCTGATAGGCTCGAGCACCAGAGAAGGAAGGTTAAACTATTATCCATACTTGATGAGGCATGTAATCAGTCTCTCTCTCTCTCTCTCTCATCAATGGCCAATTTTTTTTTGTTAATTTAGTACACCATGGAATACATAAAATCCTGGTAAATTTCCCAGAAATTATATATTTTTGGCGAGGCCGGCTACCCTAGTTTGAATTTGTTTAATTTCGTAAAATATATCTCTATTTTTAAACCCAAAAATTTCATTTTTATATTTGTGGGGTATAATTAGGGCATATAGAATTTTCATTTGGTAAAACCTTGTGAGACTAACAACCAACACTGTGAGAAACACGTTAAGTAGGAAAATATTTAAATTTTATTGGGCAGTTAGCCACATTCTTGATCTTGAATTAATTTTAGATTTACACGGATGAATTTCTCATTTTTTTGTCCCAACTTTTATAAGTCAATAGATGTCCATTCAGTTGACTTGACGATTAATTTTCTTTCTATCATCAACGTTTGATTATGCTAATAATCCTAGTCCTAAGAAGCAAATCTTCTTGTCTGTATTAGGAAAAAGAAGGCATAATGAAAAAGAGATGGCCATATATTCCACATTAATATAGACAGTCATTTCTCTGTACCACGATCTGATTCAACAATTATTTTTCAACTCTAGATCCCTTATGTGCAATAACGACGATGAAGTCCTTTCTTAATTTTGGGTTACTTAAAAGTAACTTTTACTTCTTAAGTTCAGCCAAACATGTTGATCATCAACAAATTTTTTGCAGGTGGATCGAAGATACAACCATTACTGCGAGCAAATGCAAATGGTGGTGAATTCTTTCGACATGATGATGGGATTTGGGGCGGCCGTACCATATACATCACTTGCACAGAAAGCCATGTCTCGCCATTTCCGGTGCTTGAAAGACGCCATAGCTGCACAATTGAAATACTGCTGTGAGCTATTAGGAGAAAAAGATGCTGCTGGTTTATCAGGAGTGACCAAAGGAGAGACTCCAAGACTTAGAATTTTGGAACAAAGCCTTAGACAGCAAAGGGCATTTCATCAAATGGGAATGATGGAACAAGAAGCATGGAGACCCCAAAGAGGCCTGCCTGAACGCTCTGTCAACATTTTGAGAGCTTGGCTTTTTGAGCATTTTCTGCATCCGTACGTTTTCTGCCCTTTTTTCTTTCAACTAATTCGGTGAAACTGAATCTTCTTAACAAAAGTTCATCACCTGCAATAATTTCATTAACTACAGATTTCTATGATTAGACCATGCTCGACATATTTCAATATTCTTTCCTTTTCTTCTTGTGATCATCCTTCAGACTTCAAAGTTACAGTACTATGAAACAGTGCTTTTTCAAGTTCTATCCTTTCCGTATTCTATCTCAATTACTTTGGCTTTATAATATTAACAATAAAACATATTAAGATCCCAGCAGTTTCTGGCTTACTTTTTCATCGCAACATGGAAAAATGTCTACTATCTGGCTGCCACTCGTATTAGTTTTATCATGACTCCAAATTTTCAAATTTTCACACATATGATATAAGTATAACGCGTCTAAATCTCTCTCTAGGATCTAGCATGGCCCCATCCTCTACGTTACTCTTGGTCTTTTTAGAAATAGCATTTATTCATTTGAATTTAGTGTTCAATGTGGAATTTAATTTTCTATTAAATCTGTGACAAGAACACTATTTTCAACAAGCACGACCTCAGTAAAGTACTTTGTTGACCCTTAAAAAATTTGCAGTACTATTTATCCTTCCCTTTATGCTTGCTATAAAAAATTACATTTTAATATATGGATGTTGTAAATGTTAAAAGAGGGGTGACTGAGCTAGCAGTTGTCCACTTTACTTCTGAATCTGCTGCTGTACAGCTTGCTGCAACTGATTATTATTTTTCCCTCTTAGATTGTCACCCCCATGCAGGAAAAAAAGTAAACTAAGCTTTAGATCCAATTTACTGAACAACTTATAAAGCTTGTGCATCTCTTTATATGGTTTGGGAAAGGATTCTGAATGTAATGTCCTTTTCTTTTCTGGTCTCTTTCTCAGGTATCCAAGCGATGCAGATAAGCATCTGTTGGCTCGACAGACTGGTCTATCAAGAAACCAGGTTTGTTTTTTGTTTCTACGTAATCACGTTTCTTTTTCACAATTTGATGAAACTTGTTTTATTATCATATCAAAAATAAGATTTACTGTTCTGTGAGATTTTGCACGAATTTGGGTTTTTATTCTTCTTTCTGTTTAAGAAAAAGTTGGGACTTTTTAAAAAAATTCTTTTGTTTAATTGGATTCTTTCCCACAAAGGGAAATCTGAAATGCAGAGAAGACACCAATATTAAGACCAGCAGCAAGTACGAGAGAGTGAGACAAGAAATTTTGCAGCTTTCAATCTTTCTATCTGTTCAAACAAAAATATCAAGCCTCTCTTTCCTCCTCTTACAGTCTTACGTCCGCCACACATTGAAATGAAACCCACTCAAGATATACAATAAATTGTACTAAAAACATAAGACTATTGCTAACTTTTTCCTTCTTTTTCAATCATTTTTCAGTTCTAGCTGTAATTAATGCACTATCATGCATACCACACCTATAGTGAAGTTAAGAAAAAGGCTCCATGTTTTGAATTATCACTGATCAGACAATGAAAAGAAATTAACAAAATAAACTTTATTCATCAAAATAATGCATAACTTTTCTCAATTAAATTGATCCTTTCAGGTTTTCCCTATTTGCAGTGAACCCTAGTGAAGTTAATCTTAACATTGATTTTAAGATATTTTATTTTTCAATCTAGCAGACAAATGTGTAAGAATTTGAACTGTAAGAAGGTATTAAGTAAGAATATTATTTCTTAGTGATATTGAATGAGTCAAAGGGAAAATGACGCAGTAAAAATCACAGAAATTCTTTTACGTAGGCAGATTCCGATGAAACATATAATTAGTAAAACATCATTAAATTCCATGAAGTCATTCGCCAGTCGGGTCAATTGAAGCTGAAATCTTGACTCATATGGTTTAATGATGTTGAGTTTGTTTGCTGTGTGTGTTTTCAGGTCTCAAACTGGTTCATTAATGCTAGGGTCCGTTTGTGGAAACCCATGGTAGAAGAAATGTATCAACAAGAGGCCACTGAAGAAGAGGCAGAAGAGAGAGAGACTAATGCACAAACTTCAATACAGCAGCAGCAGTCCAATACCACCATTGCTGCAGAGACAGCTGCTACTGCTTCTGCAATTACTCCATCAGGCAAAAGATCCCAAGTCAATGAACAAGAAAACGACCCTTCATTCATTGCAATTAATAATCAGTCCTCCTCGGAAAACCAGGCTACACAACCCAACATACCGCCTAATTCAGCCTCCGCCGTGGCAGCACAATCTTTTCCGGCAGCCGCGCGCCACCAATATGGGACCATCAATGCTGTTTCTGGGAATGCTGATATTAATGAGTCTACGCTTATAAGATTTGGTACGAGTGCAGGCGACGTGTCACTCACACTAGGGCTACGTCATGCCGGAAACCTACCGGAGAAGAGTCCCTTTTTAGTTAGAGACTTTGGGGGATGTTAGAGCTAAAAGATACAGTACTTCAAATATAAGAAAATCTTGTCAGTTGGTCTGTCTTTTGCTTAGTGGATTATTTTTTGTTTTCTTCGTCTCTCTAGACATATACATAATTTTAAAAAGTAGAAATTAAGTAATTTTCGCAAGGTGTACTAAATTTATCATAATTGTATAGTTGCAATATTATAATGTTACTATTCGATATGTGTAAAATATACCTAGACTCAATTTAAGGTTGTTGTTTGGGTCCAACGGGAGATAACGTACGTGAGTTAAATGCTCGTAAGTTAATTCACGTGCACTATCTCTTGAAAATAATGCAAGACGGATACAATATGAAATTTTGGGATGACTAACATCTTTGTGTTCCATCTTGACTAAAAGGTGAATATATGTATTTTTAACCAACATGCGATTTTTCCTTTAGCATGCTTCACGAGATAATCGATTGACTAAAAACACTCAACTTGGATTACAAATGCTCGTTTGAACTTTAAACTTTAAACAGATTGTATTGTTCGTTTGAGCTTTTTAGTGCCCATATACCAAATTCGATATAAGGTGGAACTTATATGTTGTTTTATTTTATATATATATTTGACCGATGTGGGATTCTCCTTTTAAGAGAAATTCATTGGTTGTGGATGTTATGGGGGAAAGGAAATAGGATATAGTGTTGAAGTTCTTGCCACAATAGTGGAGGGCATGATGGTGGATAAGGCAGAGCGAAGCGGCTGCAAGGTTTGGAGTCTGAAATGGTGGCCGCCACCTGTGGAGGGGATGCCCAAATTGAACATCGATGCAGAAAGTGAGAGACAGTTCGAGAGTGGCAGCGGCTGGTGCATATAGCCGCAAGTGACCTGAAGAGAATCATGCTAGTAAGATTACCGCAATATCAGTAAATTAAAAGAGTAATCTTTCAATATTGTTGGGTGGAGAAAACGATAGAAAACAACTACTCTAACAAGTCGATTTTCTTGATTTGGCATATAAAATTAAAAATTTGTTGTATCTATCATGTTAGATATAACATAACTGATTCCACATGACAGTCCGTTTTAGAAAAACTATATGCAAAGCAACAATTACCTTGTACCAAATTTCTTGCTTTTTAACTCAGAAAAATATCATGAATTTAGTTTGAGAAATTTAAAGTGGTGGTTGTGATGATGCTATCAGTTTGTCCAAATTTGACGTGCATGGCAAAGCACCAACTAATGGCTTATTTTGTATAATTGACGTTTCAATTATTTTGTACCAATCGCGTCTAAACATATTTTTCCATATTTTTCTTTACTCCTGCCATGTCTCCTTCAATGTATATCATGCTGTGCTCCTTGGAGACACGTGTTACGTATTATCATTGAACTCTAGAATTGATAAATAAATAAATATTTAAGTAGTTGCAACAATTAAAACCTTCGAATTCCTTTAATTAAAATGAAGAAAAGCAATTGCCATTACAAGAATTTACGTTGTTAAAAATCAATTCAACTATGTTAAATTAAGTTTGTTCATGCCACGAACTTAAAATTTCAATTGAAGGTTTATATATTCAAAGACGATAATGGACCAAGAGTAGGGGGTCGGTCAAAACTTTTCATTTCTGGGTAGTAACTAAACTATTTATTATACATTATCGTCCATTCATGTACGCCGAACACATCATAAAATCTCCTCGACCCATCCATTTCCATGACTACTAGGAATTCTATATATTGCCAAAATAATGACTAAGGATCTTTTTGAGAAATTGAATGCAAAATGTTACATAAAAAGAAAGTTTCGTTTCTGTATGCAGTAAAATTCTAAAATTTGGCGTCTGAAAAGTGAAATATGGTTGGCATATATGCACACACAAATTAATGAATAATGAGAGAGAGGAAATGCATATTCATTTATGTTTGCATAAATTATTTATTTCTGGTGGGTGGCTTTTCTCTGTGAATGGCCCCCAAAACTAGCCTAGGGATTCCCACTGCTTGAGAATGGTTTTTTTGTCTTGTTAGGTCACATAAATAAATATAAAATTTAGGGAAATCACTAGTTTGCCCTGTTTGGCAACCACTTTTCAAATTTTTTCCCCACGCACTTATTTTCAATTACACATTTACATAATAAAATGTTGTATACGTAAACCCAAAACTTTTCTTATTTTTTAACCACACTATTCTTAAAATCACTATTCAAAACATTATTTTTTGAAAATAATGACCACCAAACAAGGCTTAAGATAGTTTATAAAATTTGGACAATGTCATTTGTGTACTTTTTATTTTGTACATTATTGTTGATATTATAAGTATTGTCAATAATTGATTGGTGAAAAATTGTACAAATTCCAAACTGTTCAATAGTGTATTGTCATGTAAGAATGATGTACATGTAATATAATTGATAAAATTTAAAGTTTTTTCTCTTAAATTTCTCATCGGAAAAAAATAATAATAATAATAAAATTCAGCCCAACAAGCATTAGGTGACAACTGCTTGTTGGTGGGCCCTAGGCCCAATAAGTTTACAAACAAAGTACACCACCTGCCAAAAGTGGGCCCCAATGTTTGATGGGATAGGTTTAGACACGCATTGCTGTTGGGCTTCATAGCCCCATAGCATCTTCGTAGCAATCTCTTCTCTCTCCACAATTTTAAATTTTAATTATTTCATAGTCCAACTCTATCGAGTACTACATATTTAAGTGAGCTATAAATTTACTGAGTGTGAATTTCTTCTAAACCTAAATGATATGTTGGAATAGTATCGAATTAGACTTTAATGGACAATATTAAAATTTTAAAAAAAAAATTTAAAATTTTCTTCATTTTATTATCGACTATCTGAGTCTTACTTAGCAATGATGCTGTCGAATGTTGAATCAAAACCGTACATCACGCATGCATCAGTTCTTGAGTTGTCTATCCAAAATGTATCACATCAATGTTAATTTGCAGAATCTTTCATTTCAAAATCACATAGATTTCACCTTCTTCAGTTAACCCAGTAATTATTGGGGGAAAGGACCACATCATCCTCATTCAGACAATGAGTGATGCATATTTCAGGAAAGACAGATTTTTGATTTCCACAAAATGAGGACCACCTGACATCTGAGTTTTTCCAGATTTCAAAATTGTTACTCATGAATCCAAGAACATGAAAGAATTAATGAGCCATGCCGTTGTTACTTGTTTGGCTGTAGTTATAAAGCCCATGTTTAGTTTGAATTAAAATCTGATTTTAACTCAAGTCAAAGTCAAACAATCAACATCAACTACATTTTTCATGGGTCCCACAACTTATCAACCACACATTTCAAAAACTTTTATTACAAATCTACTAAAAATCTAATTTTAATCCCCCACCAAACACGCTCTAAGTAAAATATTTTAATGTTTCAAACAAGAAGCTTATGATGCACAGATTTTACAGTTTAATTTCAAGAAAAAAAATTCAGACAAAGGCAGGACGCGTTGACAAAAATTGGAACCGTATTTTTTTTTTCTTTCTAGTAGTACAATGTGCTTACTCAAAGTAGTTAATAGATGTCAAAATGTGTTGGGTCATCTGGTCTCAAGAATCAGGATGATATTAAGAATTGTGATTCCATCTTAAAATGTCAACCTTATTAAGAGGAGTAACCAAATCCTTTATAAGTTGGTTTATGTTTACATCTTTATTCGATGTGAGATTCTATCCCTTAACAGATGATTGCTGTTAGCTGGCTTGTGTATGTAGCCTGATGGGCTTGACTTTATGGTGCCAACACAAATATGGGCCTAGCCCGTTCAGCCTGGTCCAGCTTATGATCAGCGGACAGACCAAGATATGCAAGAGACACAATCACAACAGAAACAGGAGCCTTGTTTTACTGGCTTCATGCTTTAGGTTTGTCATCTGAGTTTCCCAGTAAGTTAAATGCCAAAAAGTTTACTACGCCTAATGCTATCACTTAGCACAATATCCCTACAATATATAAAAGTGGAGACTTGCTTGCACTGTTCCTAAGCCATTTGGCCACATAACAAGTCGTTTTCGAGCCGAGCCGTTCCGGAACCAAGCCGCTAGAAAGAGTAGATATTTTTACACTTTGGTTCTCTGCCTTTTCTCTCAGTTTCTCTCTCCATTTCTACACGCCAACTCCCATACTCCTCCATTCTTCGCCCATGTCCTTCCTTCTTCGTTTCTCTCTCTCGATTTTGGTTTCTCTCAGACGCTCTCTTTTCATTTTCTCCCTCCTCAGTAATGGGGAGGTCCGGTTTTCCAGCGTCGCCAGGATTTGTCAGTGTCGAGATCGCCTGCGGAGAACCCAAAGCGACGTCACCACCAGCGCCTAATTGCTCTCGCCTTCTCTTCTCTCGACCCGAATTACTTTTCCTCTCTTCATCTTCCCTGCGAGGCTGCGCCGTTTCCTCAACTCCACTGCTCCACCTCCGGCCGTCCACGCCTCCACCTTCAGGCTTCAGTTCAGCCCGTGATTATTGAGTAAGTATTAATATTTATTGTATTTCTTCAGTTCTTCTCCTCGAATCTCGATTATTGATTAACCATTGAATTTGATCGAATCAATTGAATCTTTGATTTACGTGGAGCTGTAAACTGTAAAGCCTAAGGAGTAACGAACTGGGTATGTTTCTTGATTCCATGAGAGATTCTTTTTTCCAGCTTCACTAATTTACTTGTTTACTGGATTTTGTTTTGTGATTAAGAATTGGAGTATGGATATGATGAAAGTTTGATTAAGAGGTTCTACATGCTAATTAGCTCTACAAGATCTTCAATTATAGAACTAATTGCAATTCAAACACTCGAGTTCAGAATTCAGTATGTTAAAATGCACCTACACAATGTGTATAGACATATAGGGGAGCCCCTGATCTAGCAGAAAGATGTATAGTAAAGGATAGAATTTTAAGACCTAAGGAAAATACCATTATTAATGATGAAGCACTTTTTCCGGGTGCGGTAACTAATTTACAAACTTCACCAAAGTAAATCAATTCATAAGGTTGCTTTCTTTTTCTTTTAGCTTATTAATTGTTACCATGATAACACTAATGTCAAATGAAGAAGTTTATCATTGCTAAATTAAGAACAATAATCAGAACTGAGGAACCAGAGACAAGAATCATATTCCCTCAGCATTAAGCTTTTGTAAATTGTAGAGTTTCGGCTGCTTTATTAAACGTGCATTTTCAATTTAATTTAAGTCTTAACTTATAATATCATGTTAGTTGAACAAGTTGATAGAATGATTCAGAATAATTCATTGCTAAAAAACTTCAAACCATGTTTCTGGTCATATATTTCTCTCTCTCTCTCTCTCGTTACTTCTTGTTTAGAAGACATTATTGTTCAATGTTAAATTAAAGGCCTCTGCAAGGTTGTTGGCATTTATGTTTTACGGGAAAAGCCTTGATCCAGTTTTTGATGGCATCCTAAGTCAGTCAAATCCGCAACATACCCTCCCTCCAGAACCAAAAAACAAGAAGAAAAAAAGAAAAAAATTACATTTTATTTAGAAGTTCAATACTGAAGATCATATTTAACAGTTTTACCAAATGTTTATTGTTACTTGGAAGATACTTTTGAAAGGGAATTTTACTTTTATCAAATGGGATATTGATTTGCCATGAAATTGAAATAAAACATTGTATAATTTTGACGAAATATTGTATAAAACATTGTATAATTTAAATTTAATGAAGAACAATGTATCATTGCAGGCTTTGATGCAGATGAGAAATTGGTTTATTTGCTTCCCAACAATCTTACAGGCCTCTGAGAGTATCATTGAGATGCTACAAGAGCAGTATGCTCATTCTGTTGGCTGTATAGTGAAGCTACTTATC